GAGAGGAATCCCGGGGACCCTGTCGTGTGGGTGAACCCTGCCCAGCCCCCCTCCGTGTCGCGATGCGCGGTCCCCACTCCCCTTCCCCTGTGTCCCTGATCGTTCGTCCTTACAAGATCCTGCTCGTGCAGGTTGGGACCCTGTCCTTCTCCCACCCCTCGTTTGGCGTGTCCTTTTATTTATTTGTTTAGACCCCCCTCTGGTGACGGGTCGGACCCCTGGCTTGGCGGGCACAGAGGGTTTGACTCTGTCTGACTCTGTGGCTGCCGCCTCTGTCGGCCTCTCTTGGCTGATTTTGGCCTCAGGGCGTCCCTGGCCGAGGGTCTGTCTTGGCGCGGCACAGAGGGCTTTGACCTCAGAGGGTTGCCCCCTCACGGCACGAGAGGCGAGAGCCCCGGGCGGAGGAGGTAGTGATCTCCACGTCCGTCCCCTGGCCCTGCTCCAGCTTGGCCATGTCGCATGAGGCGCCGCGTGAACTTGAGGTATCCAAAAAACCGCAGCGGTTTTTTTCTCTGCTTGGTGGGGGATCTCGTGGCTTGGGCACACCTCTGGTGGTGAAGCGCACTCTGCGCAGCGCCACCGGCGCGCGTCGGAGTGGCGGCCGCCACCCGCGTGGTGCGTTGAGGCATCTCCAGAGAGCCCTTGTCACCACCGGCGGCCGCCTTCAACTCCCCGAGCGGGGCCGGCTGGAAACCGGCACGCGCGGCAATTTCCTGCGCTTTGCGCAGGGCCACCGCCCCTGGGCTAGCTGCTGGCGTAGACTACGCCTGCAGCTCAGGGGCACGTCCTCCATAGGCCGCTGAAACCACTTGCCTTTCATCGATCAACACTTTCGATAGACCGAAAGTAAGATCGTTCGGTGCAGAAACGCCGGCCATGCCCATGTAACGCACTTGTGCTCGATTTTTGGTTTAGAAGTGTCTCCAAGTCTTCTGGACCCATCGATGGCCGTCGCCTCGACGCCGCTCGTCGCGGCACCATCGTGCCCGGCCTGGGCGAAGCGTCGTCGCGGGTTCCCGCCGCAGTTCGACGGCAAGCCGTGCGAGCCTGCCGAGGAGGAGGACATGTGGCTGTGCAGAGCCGACGGCCGCGCGCGCAGCACCGCCGACCTGAAGCGCCTGGCGACCGCCGCTCGGGTGCGAGCGAAACGAGCAGGAGATGCAGCCGCCGCGAACACGCGCGATCGGCAGGCGCGCGACCAGCGCCGCCGGCAGCGTGAGCAGCACGACCGGCGCGCAGCGCCGGCGGTCGCCAAGACCGTGCGCCCACAACGCGGCCAGTGCGGCTGCCCGGCGCACGCGGTGTGCGGCATGTGCGTCGACCAGGGCAAGCTCGCCGCGGCCGAGCAGGCGGCCATCGACCTGGAGACGCGCTTCCACGCCTCGACGAACGTCGTCATGGACCTGGAGCGGCCCGAGGACGAGACGGCGGCGCTGCTGCAGCGCTGCGTGCACGTCTCCGACGAGACGAAGCGGCGGCTGCTGGGCGAGTGGAGCGACGAGCGCATGGCGCACGCGCTGCCGCTGCACGCATGCGCCTCGTGCGGCGTGCGCGACCCGT